CTGAGTGGATCTGCATGGTTTTTTCATTACTCTAATTGAGCCATGATGGAATTTGTCTTTAATCAATGTTTTTTACCTTTAAAACTAAAAAAAAATAATAATAAAGTAAATAAAATAAATTAACATAAAATGTTATGCAACAATCAAAGTTAATCAAAACCCCTATAAAATGTTTGAATCAACTTAAAGAATGCTAAAAAACATAAACTTTAGCCTATAAGAGAACTGTGAAGGCATAAATAAGTCGCTTTAGGCAATGCCTCAATTGTTTTTCTTAAACTGCTTTATTCTTATGTGGCTCACCTTGCAAATCAGAAGTTTCCATGTATTTTGCTAATTAAAATAACTATCAAGTTTGATGTGAAGAGCTTTTTATCTTAAGCTGTAATGTGTGGCTGGCATGACAATTCCGTGGCTTTAATAACACAGCCATGTTATTTGTCTATGATGTGTGATTTTCAAATTCAGGCATATGTTTTTCCTTCCATTCCGATGAGATTACATACATTTTTTTTTTAAAACCCATCATGCTAAGCTTTTATTTATCATTAATGCCACCCTTCAATGAAGTACGTAGTTTTGCAAACAAAAGTAAACATTCTCAAAATCACAAAAACAACATTGAAATTTACAATGCACTAGAAAATTCAGGTTACTACAAATAAGTTAGAGACGTTAAAAAATTTTTGATAAGATGACACGTTTCAAGTACAAAGCCAAATAGCCTCCTTCAATTGGTTGATATTGCCTCTTGTATCTTTGTACAATGGTTTGGGTGTTCTGGGGCATGCTGTGGGTGGGAATAGTCTAACTGGCAATTCACCTGGTCAAGCTTGGCCAGTGGGCAAGTAATTAGCCCTTTGTCTAGGAGGCAAGTTGGCATTGCCAAGGATGAACTATTTGATGTTTTACCAAACTATTCGCTCAACTGAAACTTGCAATTCACTCACAAGTCGTGTTTGCTAAGCCAGCGAGTCAATGTCATATTATGTGCTATATGTGTGTATAGTATGAATGGGCTAGTAGAATATTTACAAGATATTATGCTTGAGTTCTTTGCCTAATATGTTAGATAGTTAAAATTTTTTATTTCTTTTATAATAGAGATGTTAAACAATGAGTTAAATTTATGAAAAATTTGTATTTTCTCAAGAAATAAAAAATTAGTTTATTTAGTTGGTTTAATTACATATTCTGTTTGAAAAAAATGTTTAGCACAATAATTTCTATTAGGTCAGCTACATAAATATTATAAATCACTCATGGGTGCAAATACACATGCATGTGCATCAGAAAAAAAAAATATTAACAAAATGATTCAATTCAAACACACATAATTCAAACTTGTTTGATCAGACCTATGTACCCGAGATCAACCTTGCTAAGGGTCTTGGTGTGTTTTTACCATCTGGTCACCTTGCCCACCATGTTGCGTCATAACCCATATAAGTAATGCATTCATAGGGTACCCAAATTCAAGGCAACTGACCTAACATTAAAATTGTTCTTATACCTTAAATGATAAGTTTCAACTCCTTTAACATTTTCAATGAATTCATCAGCTTTGATACTTCTGTTAAAGCTTATTTTTTGAAGCAGCTTATATTTGAATATTGGGCTTTTTACTGAATGTGAGAGGATTCAAAGTAATTCAATTATCAGCCTTTCGATTGTGTAAGCCTCCAATCCATGAGGTCGACATGAAACCATCAAGGCTGTCAAATAAAAAATGAAATATTTAGGCCATCTTGCATATAGGGCTTGGCTTTAAGACACTTTTTCTTTGAACGCTTACATTTGAGTTGCATTTCTCATTTTTGGGCATAATAAAAATTGTGGTTGTAAGTTATGACCTTCTAAACAACTTCAAGATAGAATAGTAAACCACTTCTAAATTAAATTCAGTCCTGTCAATTGATGTAAGCCCATGCTCAAGTAATTCAAGTTAACTTAAAGCTAGCAAGTCATTGATTAAAACTTGGTCTTTCCCCTTATTTAAAATTGAGTTGGTATGCCTTACCATTTCTAACAGAAAATTGCAATGTTGCTTACCCACGTTGTAACAAGATGAGGCATATGCCTTAGCCTACATGTTCCCATCTTAAATTTTTCAGGATATCTTTAAGTTTTTGTGTTACTGAAGCTAAAAATAATATCAATATCTCACTTATCAATTTTCATGCCTTGCACACTAGCTAGCATGCAATAAACTGAAAATATAGCTATAAAAATTTATTTAGTTGAAGTTCCAACTATCAAAACAGTCATTGTTTTAAAATTTAATTAATTTTTTTATTAACTATTATTAAATTATGAAAGATGGAGATGATGAGATTAAAGATGAGGAGGAATGGGATAATATGGACATGTCTGAGGATGAGGGAGAGAACAACTCATTATGTTGACAATTTTGATGAAACCACATGCATTGGTAAGAGTGACAAGGAATTTTAAGTTTAAAAATTTTAATGTAGAACTTGTCATATTCTTATTAAGTGGAGAACAATATGAGTGAGAGAGAAATACTTTACCTTTATAATGAGTGAGAGAGACAATATAAGTAAACATAAAATTTATTTTTATTGTTATATTATGATGCTTTAGTATTTTGTATTGATGCTTTAACTTCATTTGATAGTTTAATCTTTACATAACCCATCTTATTTTTTGATTTCATGTTAGTATGTTTAACATGTTACTTTTTACTTGTACAAATTATTATTTTTACTTTGTTAGAATGTTGATATACTGTTTTTTAGTGTGTTAATATATTAGAAATTAATATGTTATTTCTTCTCATCTTGATGTTTGTACAGTACTTATTTTTTGTACTATTATTTTGAATTAGAGGCTTATGCTTTAAAATATCTTCAGGCTTACGCCTCACCTTACAGATTAAAAAAAAGGTTTCAAAACTCAATTGCACAATTTTATATCTTTGTTGTCCCAATGGATTTTTGCCCAGAGCTCATCCAAACTTGGGGCAACCCATATGCTAATGAGCTTATTTATTAATTAAAACCAAAAAGTCGATATTTTCTCTAGTTTGCTCAAGATATCTGAGATGAGGCAACATTACTCGCTAGTTAGATTGCCTTCATGTTACTACATAAGCCTGTGATTAAAATCAGTAGGATTAATGGAGTCTCTCCAAATAGTAAGGAGATTTTATAACTTCTCACATGGGAATTTTTGTTTGCACTTAGAATGAGTTTTATTTTCTTGAGCAACGTGAATGATAAGTTTGGACTTCTTACCAATACAATTAGCGCAGAAAGGACTGTTTGGTGCCTTAGCAAGCATTGGGATATCCTAAAGGAGTCGAGGATCTCTCTCTTGAATATTATGATGTTCATGCATGTCTTAATCGAGATGCAAATGTTAAAGAAAATCAATTTATTTACCTTTGAATTTAATTAAGAACTCATTCCTCTGTTCAAATAAAAATAGCTGTAGGATGTTGGTTAATCGTGCTTTCTTTAATTAGAGGATTCTTTTTTTTTTCCAGCTTCTATTTTGGTTTGCTTATCCATTTTGATAATAAGAAAACGGTGGCTTTTTTGCCTGTACTTGCTGATGCGGTTACAAGACAAGGAAATCTAGGGCAACTGCGAACACCAAGTTTACATGACTATGATTTTATTATGGGAAACACAAATATTTATACAAATTCAAAATAGTTTCCAAGGGTTTTGTAACTCAAGTCGTAGGGCAACTGTTTACCAAGGACCCTGATAAAATGAGTTCTTGCTGTTCCAACAAAGCTCAACTGTTTTGTCAAGGCGAGATATTATAACAGCTGGGTAAATTTCCTTAATAAGGTTGTCACTTCAGTTTTTCTTGATGTTCTTTAGCACCCCCCGAATCTGCTTGAAAGCAATGAAAAAAAAGGTAGATCTCTGCTAAAATTAGAGAAAAAGGGATTAAAAATGGTAATAGGGTTCAAAATACAACTGAGAACTTAGATGCACACAATTATTTCTTCTTGATCTCTAACCCCTTTGATCTATTAAACCTTGGACTTCGATTTCTTGCGGGAATTTCCAACTTCCATCCACTAATTCCATCCTCCAGTGCTCACGAATGTATAAAATACTGTAACAACCCTAAAGGAAACAATTACTAGTTGGCCACAACAGATGATTATTGGTTGGTAAATGGAAAAGTTTGCAAGGTATGGAAAATATTGTTGAATTGCCATCTTCTTTCTGTTCCTGTTCTCTGGAATAAATCCTGGATATCTCCCCACTCACGACTACAACATTTAAATTCTAATGGTACTGCATGAAAGAAAAGAAGAAAGCATCAAAGAGAAAAAATAGATTGATACGAAACAGTGTCTAATTTGCTGTTCCCAAATTGAGGATGCCATTCTCTGTTCTCTCGTTGTTGCAAATTTTTGGCAGCCCTCAGTTTTGTTTTCCAGAATAGATGATGATCTCCAACAGCGGCACCTTAATAGCCATTAGATAGGAACTTAGGAGTGTAGGTGTTGATGGTGGCGGATTCAACAATGTCAGTTTGGGACTACATAGAGGGTGGATGGCCTTAATAGCAATGATTTTGTTGTTTTTATTCATTTATATTTTTATTTTGGAATGAAAAGAAGTGATGTTTAATATTTTTATAAAATCCTCTATTTGAATCACAAATCATAGGATTTTTGTAAAATGATTTCATCGATCATGAAGTGGATTTCCTCATTTCTTAAACATAACTCATTATTTAAGAAACTTTTTGGATCATTTCAAGCCCCATTTTAGATTTTAGATGATGCATATCCTATACCATATTTTCCTTTCATAGTTGTTCTTCTAAGTTGTCGTTGTTTTATACCATTGCAAGCATGGATGGGATAATATTTGTTCCGGAAATTCCGAACTTTTGTCTCTGGTGCAATCTTATGCTACATATTTTTTTTTTTATGCATTAGCTTTAGCTATTTTGTTCTGGTGTTTCAATTTATTTGGATCATTGTCATTTATAATTGTGTATTATAGGTTTTAGAGATTGCTGGATTTCAGGTCAAGAGGATCCTGCTATAGTTCCAGTCAAAGAGTTAATTGCACTGCGAGCAGCAAGGAAGTAATGGGTAAGGTCCCTCTGATTACAGATCAGAGCTGGTCTTGCTTCCACCTGCCCCTTTTTTTCCCCATCCCAAGTGATCACATGTTGAGCATTTTGTTTGAAAATATCGACAGAAATTATGTGCAGGTGATATTGCTTTCCCCTCGGCTGTTTTATTGAGTATGCTTTTCAGGGTATATCATGTAATTTAAGGGCTTCATGATTGTCAAGTCCGACCTTTTGTTTCTTACACAATTCATGGTAAAGAATTTTGTCAAAGTTTTGAAAATCTGGTCTTTTTTTCTTTCTTGAAACAGGAGCTTTATTTTGTATCGCCAGTCTGCGTCGATGTATTCTATTTTTTTTTTCTTTTCTTTTCAGACAGGAAATTACAATCACTTTATGTTTGTACTTTATTGAGGATTAAATTATGTGTGTTTTTTAGCTAATGGCATCATGTTCACACCCAAATTTACAGGTATATGCTTAGCTTCATTGCCCTATAAGCTGTCCAATAGTTTTTTTTTTTTTTTTGAACCCGGGGTGTTTGGCTTACGCATAGTGAAGCAATCTTAACATCGTTAGTCTCTTCCAAATATTTGAGGTTTCACCTGAATGCTTATTATGCAATAAATTTTGTTGACGGATGAAACTTGTAACACTATTATTTACATGCTTTTTATCATAATTTTTAAGGGATGATTTGTCTATTGATTTTTCTAATATGGGTGTATCCATTGTATTTTTTTCTTAATTACTGTCGTTGTTTCTTAAATGTGATTATTTTCTAATTTAATCTTCTTAAGAGAAACTGTTTTAATAGTCACATTTATAATTAAAATTTGGCTATTTGTTAAGACTTAATATATTCTTATTACATGAATAAGAATAAACTGTTGTGCATGATTAGATTTTTAAACACTTAAATTTTAACCGAGAAGACAATGTGAAAACATTAATTTTAAAGGGGTAGAATAGTTGTTAATCTGGACGCAAGTGATTTAATCGTAATTTTACGCTTATTTGAGTATATAAGATTTTGAATTCATATTTTTGGTGGTAGATGCTAAACTTGTCGATTAAAAAGGCCAGGATTAAGGAAAACAATTCTCAAAATTTAGGAAGTTTGGACTTTCAACCGAAAACGATAGACCTTTCGATATTGAGGTCCACCGAGTTGAAAAAGGAAATTATTGGCATCAGTCTTTCCGAGTAAACTTTATAGAGTGCTTAAAGCTTACACGTTTGATTGTATTTTTTTAACTAAATTCATTCAGCAAAAGAGGACAACATTAGAAGTACACACTATGAATAAAGTACTGCTAAAGCTAAACATCTATATGGATCTCTTAAAAAAATTTAAAAGCTCAATAGCCTCATTTACCAGTTTACAGAGCATCTAAAGGCTTGGTTAAAATGAAATTGGTTAGTGTATAACCAAAACTCTTTGGATTTTGTTCAAGTCACGTTGTGGTTCAATTAACCAATGCAGTCACTTGGTTCAATATGATGGCTTGGTTTGACAAATTAGCAGCCCCATTCAGCCGGTCAGCATTGTAAAAAAGTTTGACATATCAATTCGAACTGTCATTAATAACAGATCTTACGGCGAGACCTTTTCCGCAAGCCAAATTTATTTTGTCCTAATGGCCGAATAAGTAGATAATACTCATAAACAATATATTCGGCTACTTTGATTTGTAATTTTATCTAGTATTTTACAAGGTGTATTTTTTATTTCTTGTGTAGTTTTGTATATAATGTATTTGAGGACAACCCAATCGATCAATAAATGTGGTATTCATGTGGTAAGGGATCCCTATGGCCATAGGATCTTTTAGAAAGGGATTATTAAGTGTTTATGAGGAATTTAGAGAAGAATTCTAATTGAGTTAGATCCTTAGAGACTTCCAAACTCGCTTTTTATAACCACTTCTTTTGGCTCTCTTCACCTTCTTTTTATGGTTCTTTTCCCTTCACGTAACTCTTTTCTAGTTGACTCATGAACATTCTAGTACCCAACATCTTTGATGGTAGATCATGTTATAAACTAGATGACACGTTACTCAAAGAACAGGGTCGAGCCATAGAAACATAACTATCAATATGAAGTGAAAAAAGGGAATTCATTGTTCAACGAAAGAATGAGTTGAAAGAGAAAATGATGACAATGATCAAAGAAGCCGTAAAGCATGTACTGAGAAAGACATCGCATACATAACTACCATCCAGTTCACCAAATTTGGTGATATGTAGAAGAAGAGATCTAGTAAAAAGGATAATAAGAACTTTGAGATTTACACCTGTAGAGGGGGCGCGACAGGGGTGTGAAACATTCTATCCCAAAAAAGTAGATTGGTCCTCTTCTAATTTTGTGAGTGAGAGAGAGAGAGAGAGAGAGAGAGAGAGAGAGAGAGAGAGAGAGAGAGAGAGAGAATGCAACAAGTTACTCAGAGGAGACATCAACTAGAGAGCACATTTTATAGAGATATTGTTGAAGTAGAGGTGCTGAAAAAATTTATGTTTCTCATCCAAGAATCTTATATAAGATGTTTTGACCTAATTGAACAAGTAGTATCATTTGAGTTTGCAATATGCCTACTACAATTTAATGATGTACTCAAGTGTCGCATTTTGCTTATGCTCTCAAATAACTTGCCCTTTATTGGTTTAACAGCCTCCTACTAGAGGTAATAACCTCATTATCGAGTTTAGATGCATGTTCAATGCAAAATTCACCATAGCCCAAAAATCACAAAAAAGTTTACAAGTATTATTATGAATTCACCAAGATCTAGAAGAATCACGAAGAAGTTTTATAACTTACTTTTAAAAAGTGATGTTAGAAATATGAGATTTGGAACCAGTGGTCTCGCATGTAGGATTATATTGCACAGCCAAGAGTGGGTGAATTGGGATTTAAAAAAAATATTTAATTAAATAATTAATTATTTTAATACAACTTTATAAGAATATCAACCAATTAAATTTTAAAAACTTGAAAAATAATGTAAATTGCAAGATACCGCAAGTACAAGTAAAATAAATAGCAAGCATAATATTTATATGTGGTTCGATTGACCAAGCCTACATCCATGCAAGCTACTCTGGCTAAGAAACAATTAAATCCAAGGTTTGCCAACAAATCTCATATCTTTAAACTAAAGAAGTTGCTTAAAACATTAGTTCTCGCTTACAAGAGCGAGTACAATTCAATCTAAGCAGAATGATTTTCCCTTAGTGAAATAGCTTAGATAAAGAAAAATAAGTATATAAAATTTTATAAATTATAATATCTTTAAATAATCTTATAAAAAATGACCTAATAATAATTTGAGATGAATTTACAATAAGTTGTTAATCGCCTTATATATTGCCAATGATAGATTTTGCTCACTATGGAATACATATTTATTTTTTGGCTTATGTAAATAATATAATTAAGGTTTTTTTGTTCAAAAGAGTTTAACTCATTAATTCTAAAAATATTTAATATTTTTAGGCATAGAAAGTAGATCAATAATAAACTAAAGTAATCTGCTTTGTAACATTATGGATGAATGAATTTAATCATAGAAATTTAATCTAAGATGCTTAAATAAAATTTCATCCAAAATAAAAAAGTATTTTAAGAGATATATGTCGGTAGTAAACATGGGAAAGTGTACTTAATTGTCCACTACCAACAAGCTACCATCGCTCAATTACCACTATCAAAATATTGCCTCCCTACACTGTGTTAAACCACCACTGCTAATTCATGATCATCACATAGTTATTTCCTTCCTACCATTATGAGAACCCCACCATCCATCAATCACAATTTGATCATTAAGGTTTGACGACATTGGTTCAACAATAATCCTCATGAGATTTTCATTTTCATTAAACCATTGTCATTTATCCATTTTTATGGAATCAACGAATACATTTGACTACATTCAATTTTCCTGCATATGTTTTTGTAATTAATCAACAAATACATCATATGGCTCTTGCTACACTTGCCTAATGTAGATGCACATGCATACAGTGGAACAATCAAATGAGATGCACATCATCAAGATGCTTCATATTTAATGAGTATTGGTTGGCCTAGGTAAGGGGCATCATGAGGGATACTACCCCGCACCTGGATAACAACTAATATGCTCATGGAAATGAAAAACCCATTTTAAGCATGACATGCATTTATGAATGGCTAGATATGTATGCTGACTGTGATATCAATTCACAATATTCTTAAAAGAAAAGTATTTTTCACACCCTTGAGAAATAAAGACATAAAGCCACTTAATACATATTTATTTACTTTTGCATATAAAGTAAATAAACGTAGGTAAAAAATGTTGTAAGGTAAATAAGTAAAATTGCAATGCATAAAATGTAAATGCGTACCCAGGCCTCTGCTACCGTTGCATTTTTAACATCATAAAACATAATATATTTGCAGGAAATTTAAATAAATTACAAGAAAGTAAAAGGAACATTCAGTACGAAAAAAGTTAGAAAAATAAGTAGTAGCAAAACACAAGCAAGTAAGAGAAAAAACATTTACATATGGAAGATCAGAGCTAAGTGTATGAATTTGGTAAAGGTGGGGGCTCAGAGTTGGGTTGTGTGCTTCCCAACCTTGAGTAAGAGATACCAACCTAACAATCTATGGAGGGTAGTCCTAACCTCATTCCAGGTGATTAACCGTGGAACTTTATAAGTTTTCATTATTAATTTAAATTTCATGCATGTAGAATTTACTTTAAGAGGCAAAAGAAATTTCATTTTTGTAAATACTTTGCAAAATATTATAGTCAATAGATTAATTATTTTGATTGAGCTAGGATTACAGGAAACCTAAGAGTATCGGGGGCCAACAATCTGATCAAGGGTCGTCGAATGGTACCATTGGTCTTTATCCTCTCCCTTTATTGAAGGTCCTTGAGGTCGGAGATACTATTCGAAATCCCACTTTGTATTCCTCATTTAACACATTTGCATAAGCGTCATTACCCCAGCCACCTAGACGTCAGACTTACACTAGCCCGATGATCCATATGTGACAAAAACAAATATCCCCAGTTTCTCACAAGGATTCCAGTTTCTCACAAGGATTTATAAATACCTTAGATAGGACTCAAATCCTTAAGCATTGGGTTAATTAATATAGGATACGTAGTGTAGGGCACTTTTATTTATTTATGTGAATTATCGAGTCGTAAATCATAACTTAGTGGGTCTCTAAAGGTTTCAATGGATAATTTTTTTTAAAAAGAGAATAATAAGTTTAATTTTACTTTAAAATATCCAAAAGATTATAAAAGTGTTCGGGGGTATGACCATAAACAACTTTTAAAACCCCTTGAACCATTTTGAGTTCATCTGAACTTATTATGTTGTTCAATTAATCATCAGAAGTTAAATTTAGGTTCAGTGGTAATTAATTTATC